CTCCTCAGGACCAGGCAGGTGGGAGCAGGACAGTGTGCCCCAGACTGCTGGCTCCCAGCTGTGCTGCAGAGCCACCGAGCCACGCTCAGCTCCATCACATACCATAATTGAGTGCTTCAGGGGCAGTCCACTTGACAGGGATCTGCTTCATCCCGCCCGTGGAGGCATAGATGCCATCCTCCTCCTCCCGCGACATCCCAAAGTCACTGATCTTCAGGGCATTCTTCTCTGTCACCAGGCAGTTGCGAGCAGCCAGGTCCCTGGGATGGCCCAGAGCTGTCAGCCACATGCCCAGCCATCCCCAGGAGTCTCCACCTGGCACAGGACGGGGGACAGCAGGGGCCCCGGGGTTCACCCTGCCCTGCCTGGCACCCGCCTGCACCACCGGAGCCCACCTGTGGATGCAGTGCTTGCTCTCCAGGTACTCCATGCCAGCAGCAGCGTTCTCCGTCATCTTGATCAGCTCCTTCACCCGCAGATGGGGCCCCTCGCTGCGCAGGAAGCTCAGGAAGTCCCCTCCTGCACCCAGGATTGCAGAGCTGGCAGGCAGCTGCCCTGGCACGCGTGGCAAGCTTGCACACACACGCACCGACTGCCCCAGTAGCGTGGGGACCACAGGAGGGGGCCACTCACCCTGCACCAGCTCCATGACAATGTAAATGGGCTGCTTCTGGGTGCAGACACCGATGAGACGGACAATGTTCGGGTGGCTGTACTGCTTGAGGATCCTGTGGGGACGAGGAGGGGCACTGTGAGCATGCAGGGGGACCAGCTGCTCTGGGCAGAGGCCACCTCAGTGCCATCCCTCTGCCCAGCCAGCCCAAGGACACGGCCCTCAGCACAAGGATGCTGTGGTGCCAGTGGGGTTCAAACAGCCCCAAGTCCCAAGGACGGACAGACAGGCCGGGACAAGTGTGACAGCCGTACAGACCTGGCCTCCTGCAGGAACTTGGCCTTGAGTTCTGGTGGGAGGGTTTCCCGGCAGGATTTCACAGCCACAGGGGTGTTGTCAGCACGCAGGCGGCCGCTGAACACCT